ATAGCGACAAGGTCACACGCGGACTCTGACAGCATGTCAGCTCACCACCTCGCCTTCTCTGTCGCTCTCCTGGCCCAGGCCCATCAGTATCAGGTCTGAGCTGTCCTAAACCGCACTTACCTCGGGTCTGCAAGCTCACACCGGCTCGTGATGCCACGGAGAGGGCTCCGAGATTGTCCCCGGTGGACCCCATCCGAGCCGATTGCGAGGGCATTACGGAGGTCATTGTCGGCGCCATCGACTGTGAAATGTCCCGACCCACAGCCCTCATGCACTAGGCTCATGGATGCAGTCATAATATGTAGGCCTTGTCTCCCGAAGTTTGGAGCAATAGCCGCAAATAGTACTTTTTGGCACTTCATCGCGACACGTCCAGGTGCCGACAAAGCGGCTTCCCAGCTCACCACCTCGCCTTCTCTGTCGCTCTCCTGGCCCAGGCTCATCAGTATCAAGCCTGAGCCGTCCCAAACCGCACTTATCTTGGGTGATGAAGCTCACTCTGGCTCATACCACGGCTCTGCAGCCTCACACACGCCCGTTTCAGCCACAGACACCGCCGGCACGCACTCCCACTTCACACACGCTCAAGCACAACCCCATCAAAGCACATCCCTGCTCAGAATGGGCAAGGGCTACCACCTGGTGACCCTGGTAGCCTCTGGCTCGCCACTGCACTCGGCTCCTCTGCAGCGGTCTCGGCTCTCGCCACCACAGCACGCCGACGGCAAGCTTTGACGCCCGTCTGGTGGACCTGCTGTGGCCACAGCCGCCCCTGACATGCATCTCGCACCATGACTCGACACCGGGCCCGCTCAGCTTGGTCGTGGCGGCGTGTGTGAAGGATGCGCGGCCGAGCCGCTGGCTGGCGCCGCTTGAGCGTCCGAGATGGCCGCAGCAGAGGCCACGCGTCGCGCCGCCGGCCAATCCCAGCCTCTCGGCGGTCGAGTTGGTCGAGCTGGCGGGGCCGGCGAAGATTTCGGGGACGTGACCACAACTCGGGCAGCGACAGCGCGCTTGAGCTTAGCTTGTCCGACACCCCTCAAAATCGGGGTCTTTTCAATAGGGCCCACCTTGGCCTTTAATCTTACTTTATCACCGGGAACGGGCGTAACGCAAAAACGTCCATGCATGCTTCCCGCGTCGGAGCCCGGTGCGTGGACGCTGGGGGGCAACGGCCGTGTGACGATCCGGCTCGGCAGGGCGAGGCTGGTCCACACTACCGTGACCAACACGCCGCGCTGGAGCAAGCTGCCTACCCTCGGCCAACGCAGGCTGCGCTCCTTCATGCCGAACGTCCAGGCGAGAATGCATTGCAGCTGCTGCCCTCCCCACACTGCCTCTCTCCGCGCCGCTTTCTCTGCTCCCTCTCGCCCTCGCCGCTTCTTGAGCCACGCCGGCCTTACACTGCTGCCCTCACGGCTGCTGCCCTAATCTACTGCACTCACCGCCGCTGCCCCCACCGCAAGCCGCCCTCACCGCCACAGGCATGGATCTCAGAGCTTGCGTCGGACCCGCACTTTCTGGAGCTAGATGCTCCGGTCGCTACCATTCTCGATGAGCTTCTTTGCCTGCGACCCTACCTGATCCTCTTTGCTGGCACCGCCGCGGGTGCTCTCAGGTTTGAGCTGAAGCGGAAGAAGCGTAGCGGAGGCATGGCGGTTGATACTTTGGTCGACGTCGACCTGCGACGCTGCTGCTTCTTCGTCTCCACACGCCTTCAGCGGCCCGAGACGGGTACGTCGCCCTTTCGCCCGCCGGTCCGACGCGCGCGGCTGACTCTGCGCGAGGCGCTTCTCTGCGCTGCTGCGGGCGGCGCTCCGAGCGTGGTCCGCAGGAGGCGTCTGCGGCGCATGTCTCAGCTGGTGCCTCGGCGGTGGCGTTCGGAGCCGGTGGCGCCCACTCCACTATGGACCAGTGAGGGGGTGGCGCCGTTCGTGGTGGAAGGGCAGGCGGCAGCGGCGGCACTCGACAAGAGTCTCGCTGGGGCAGTGGGCCTTGCCGTGGCGCCCATCCCACCCGCTCAGGCCAGCGCAGTCGAAAGCGTTGCCACGCTGACAGGCCTGCTGGCCCGCGGGATGAGGGGCGGAGGTTCAAGCTTGCGACCGGACGAGGCGCTGCAGGCGGTCCGGCTGCAGCTCTGGGCCATCTACTTGCGGCTGCCGTCCGCTGCTCCGCCCGCAGAGTATGAGGCGTGGCGCGATGCGGGCCTTGTTGTGGCAATGCTCGAGCTGCTCGTACTCGCGCCGTCGCTCTGTCGACTCGAGCGGCGAGCAGGTCGGCCCTGATCACCCCCATTGGTCGCATCTCTTCTCACCGTTGCCTCTCACTCCGTTCTCTCTCGCCGCCGCGGCTCCCCTTACCCTTGCTGCCCTCGCAGCCGTCCCTCCCCTCCCCGTCGCCTTCCTCGCAGGCGAGGGAGAGTGCGAGCCGCGGTTGCTCGGAGTCGCGGCGCCACACGAGGCAAACGCGCGTCTCTCTGGCGCCACACCAAAGGCGCAGGCTGGGGTGCCGCACGAGGTGCGAGCGGAGGCGCGAGCGGAGGCACGAGCGGAGGCGCTGGCAGAGGCACGAGCGGAGGCGTTGGCAGAGGCGGAGGAGGTCGAGGAGGAGGAGGCGCCGGAGCGGTAGCTAGGGAACCAGTAGCGTCCGTAGGCAGTCCTGCGGTGACAGACGACCCCTCGTCTACACGGGATCACACGGCGACACCTCGAGGCTACGTGCCTCACTGCCCTGCCACTCTGCCTTCCCTCCGCAGGCGCTCGACGACAGGCCGGCACAGGCCGCAGTCACGGCCGCTCCGAGCGGTGCAAGGGTCGGCACTGAAGACGATGCTGGAGCTGGGGCGAACGCTGCGGCTCGGCTCGACGACAGGTCGGGCTGTGCGTGGATGGCGCTGCGCGCGACCGCGGTGCGCGATGCAACAGCGGCCGCGGAGCTCGCCGCCTCTGCTTTCCCGGGCGTGGGGGGTGACGATGCTAGAGCGGCGCGCGCGGCCGCCGCTGCCGAGGCGAGCCTGGCGAGGTCTGAGTCACAGGCCGAGAACCGGCGCGGCCGCGTGTGCGCTTGCTGCGTCCGGTGCAGCCGCTACGCCGACTACGTGCAGCAAGTATCGGAGCGCCCCTCTCTCTTTTTGCCCGATCGCGCATGCATCTCTCTCGCCTCGAGATCGTCACATCGGACCCTCCCTTTGCAATCAATGGCCCACCGATCCTATCCTTTCCCTCGCCTTCCACCCTCTTCTGTTCTCCCTCCCTTTGTGCAGGTGTGGCAATCTACCGTGACGCGTCATGGAGGTGTTGCGGACAGCGCCTGCACGCATGACAAGAAGGAGGGCCTTGCCTGGGGGGCGGCGTCTGCCCGCGGTGCACACGCCCTGTCGGACGTGTGGTGGCTGCCAGAGCTGATCGTCTCGAGGCTTACCGCGGTCGACACGCGATCCACGCGACGCTTGGCCTCCGATTGCTCGCGGTTGCTCGTTGCCGGCCTCGCCTCTCTTCCATTGCTTCGGTCCATCCGTGGGTGGTGCGACCTCGCGGGGTTCCTCGAGGCGTTCGCTGCGAGTGGGGGCATCGAGGCCGCGGGTGCCATCGCGACGGCCGAGCCCGGCTCGCAGAGGCGTGACGCGACGGCCTCCCCTCCAGAGGCCACTCTGGCGGGCCTCGCCGCGCCGTGTGATGAGCAGACTGATGCGGAGAAGGTGCGGGCGCCACCGTGTCGACCACGCTGCTACTCCTCTCTTCTCCGCTACCTCACCCCTTGCCATTGTTCCTCTCCTCATTAACCCCCCACCGGTTCAAGCTGTTTCACTCGCTCTCCGCGTCTCTCACGACCGCCTCGCCGTCGTCGCCCTCACCGCCCTTCCCCCCGGCTCCTCCAAGGTCACGGCGGCGACGCAGCTCGTCGCACTGGCTGCACACGAGCCGCGGACGAGGCTGGCCGTCGAGGGGCGCGTGCTACCGGCCCTGCATGAGCGCCTCCTCGCGAATCAGCTTGGGTGGCCTCAGCGCTCCCATGATCCTCCGTGCTGGCGACGGGCGGCCGCCTGTGCGCTCGCGCCGCCACAGCGGCTGCCTTCGCCCTCGGATGGCGCAGCCCTCCAGGGCGGCTGTGAGGACGGCGAGCGCCACTCGCTGCTTGAGCGTGCCAGCGGGCGGCTGCGTGCGTGCGTTCCTCGCTGCGCGGCGGCACTCGGATCAGGAGTCACAACCGAGACGGTGTGACCCACCCTAGTGCAAACGTTCTCTCACGCCCAAGGGGCTGGCAGGGCGAACCCACCGCATTCTCGCCATGACCCCCGTCTATAGATCGGTCCTCTCACGAAGACCTCCTCACGAATACATTGCCACGGTGTGCCTATCATTACACTGCCAGACCCTCCCGTCTTCAACCCTGCAGGCCTCACACCTCCACTTGCTAGCATACTACGTCGAGACCCACTCGGCGAGCTGCGACCCGGCGAACCACATCACGAGGCTCATGGGGCCGCTTACGGAGCTGAGTGAGCAGCTCTTCTACGACGCCCACGCCGCCACTTCTGCGCGGGGCGAGGATACGGTGTCGAGGCTACGCCTTGCTGTCGCCGCCCTGCGCCTCGCTCACAGCCTCTTCGAAACCAGCCACGACCACTCTGAGCTGCGCCGCCTTTGGCGATCCGTGTACCTTCGGCCGCGGGCCGTGCAGTGGGCACATACCGTGGCATCGTCGCTGCTCACCCCCTCGGCTGACTTGCTCTCGCTCGTCGTAGCGCAGAGCGGCTCTTGCGCCGCGGCTGGCAGGCTGATGCGCGAGGGCTGCGCCGCGGCATCACACCACTTGGTGCACGCACCTCCAGCTTTCACCCTCGCCATCGTGTGTTTCTCCTCCGCCGCCATTGTCGCCTCTCTCGGCCCCACCATCGCTCGTTCCGCTCTCGCCCTCCACCCTTTCCAGCTAGACCTTGTCCCGCCCCAGCTCGTCTCCCGACCCGTCAGGTGCACGTGGCGACACTCGTCGGTGAGGAGCGTGAGACGGCCGAACGGGAGGGGCTCTCGCTGCGCGACCTTTGGGCCTCGGCCAGGCCATACGTGCTCTCGTACCTTAATAAGGTCGCGCATGGAGACGATCTCAGCGCTGAGGCGGCCGTAGCGCCGGGGGGCTTGCGCTTGCGAGAGCTTATGGCGCCGCAACGGTCGGCCACGCGCTGCGAGTTTCCGCTTCTACGCCTGGTTGCTGATGCAATCGAGGGCGGTCTCGAGCCATCCGGCGCAGCACCCGCCGTCGCTCGATCTGGCCAGCGCGGCTCAGCAGCCAGCCTGTTGGAAACCATGTGGCGGCGCGGAGTCGCACTCTACACGGCGAGTGAAGCAGCGTACCGGTGGCGCGTCGTGCGCGGCGCTTGCGAGTCGGGGCGCGGTCGGCTGGAGTCCGGCACGCACCAGGCACCCCGCCTGTCCGTGCCGCCGGGGCTTGAGATGCGGGCGAGGCTATGCAGCCGCTACTTCGAGGCGCTCGCGTCGCTGGCTGCCTCACGCGGGCCGACGGCCGGCGATCAGTTTATAGCGCTCGGCGTGGCGCGCTCGCTCGTCGCTGAGATCTCGCTTGAGCGGCACATCTGCGAGCCAACGAAATGGGCTCCCGCGACCGGCATCGGCGGCTGCAAGCAAATGCACGACGGAAGTGGAGACACCTCCGGGACCAGCAGCCAATCCAAGCCGTGCCTCTGGCGGGACTCGCCTGCCTTCTCCACGGAGGACGCGCCGTCGGAGGGCGAGTTCGGGGAGAGTGACGATTCTGACCTCTCCGAGGTAGAAGTGGACGCTCCGCTGGCCTTCCCAACGGTACCCCGCTTGCGGCCAGCGGTATCGCCCCGGTCGTCGCCCAGATCGCCCCGCCTGCCTCCTCTCGGCAAGGGTCACGCAGGGAAGGCTTCCGCCGCGGCCAGGCAGGCGGTACCAAAGCTGCAGCTCTCCATTTCAGCCCTTCGTGGAGGCCGCCCGAAAGCCGCGGCAGACTCGCGACAGCCGCAGCAGCCCCTGCAGCTCTCGTCAGATGCCCAGTGCGTTCTACCCCTGAGCAGCGGCCGCGACGCTTCGCGGCTCAACGCCGCTGCGCCGCGATCGCCCGCGCCGCCATCCGCACGCCCTGCTCGAATAGTCAGTGCGCGGACGGACCGCCCTGCGCCCGGCCCTCTGCCGGTCAAGGATGCGTCAGCGGTGGACGAAAGCCAGTCGCCTCGCGGCCTCTTGATGGCGCAAATAGCCGGCAAGACGGCTGAGAGCGCAGGTGGCAGTGCGCGCCCCTCGCTGGCGGCCGGCAACCTCTCCGCCTCGGCATACCGGGCAGAGTGCGGCACGCGGCTGCTCTACGCGAGCGATGACGTGCGCCGCTCCGTCTTGCTCCTCCTCCTCACTCTCCTCGTGGCGCCGGGGCAGCACCAGCTTGACGCTACGAGCTCAGACAGGGCTGGCGAGACGTCGGCCCCAACAGCGGCGTGTCGTGCCCTGGAGGCGCATCTCAACCACCCTGCCAACCAGGCCATCCTCCCCTCCCTAGCCTCCGCCGCTGCGCGATGCGGCGAGGCGCACACGGTGCTACTACGCCTCCTCTGCGGCGCGCTCTACTCGCACCACCGCCACAGCTTCGGAGAGACCATCGCGCGTGGCGCCTTTGGCACCGTCCGCGAGCTCGAGCGTCCGTGCCGTCCGGACGGCGGGAAGGGCGCCGAGGCGCCACTGGCGGTCAAGCTCGTCCCAAAGGCTGCAAAGAGCTGCTCCTCGGGCCACCTACCAGAGGTGTTTGCGGAAGTCCTCGCTCTAAGGCGACTGCAGCCGAGCGGCGTGGCGGCGCGGCTTGTCGATTACGGCTGCGACGCGTCCACTTTCTTCCTCGTGATGCCGCGCTACATGCAGTCGCTGCGTGCGTGGCGGCGCGAGGCTTGCGGCGGGACGGGCGAGCCTCCCACCGGACAGCTGTTTGCACTGTACGCGCAGGCGCTCTCTGCGGTAGCGCAGATGCACGACGAGCACATCGAGCACTTTGACATCAAGGCGGACAATTGCTTGCTAGAGGAGGTGGGCGAGGTGGGCCGAGACGCGGCGAGCGCACCTGACGTGGCCCGGGCGGGCGGCCTGCGCCTGGTGATTGCGGACTTGGGGGTGGCTCGCATCTATGGCGCCGAGGAGCAAGGCCGGTCGCCACGCGATCGAGGCACCGAATGCGTCAAGAGCCCGGAGATGCTGGAGGTGATTGGACTTCACAGGGGCAGCGCAAGGGCGAGTGCCAACGGTAGCGCCTGGGGCGGCGCTGCTGACGCCGCCGCCAGCAGTCCGCGCGGGGCCTCGCGCATCACGCGGGGCAGGCCTGGAGACAGAGCTTGGGCGGTCCCGGGGGCCTGCGACGTGTGGGCGTGCGGCTGCCTGCTGTATGAGGTGCTGACGGGCGACTACCTCTTTGAGGAGGCGGACTGGTTCCGCTTCTACCTGAGGGTGACGTCGGAGGACCAGCCCATCCTCCTCCCTCCCCACTTGTCGCGGATCCCCGCCAGCCACGCCGACCAAGTGGCAGCCTTTCTCGGCTTTGTGCTCGAGCGCGATCCTCACCGCCGCCCGTGCATAGGAGCGGTGCGCGCCAGGTTTGGGCAGCTTGCCCGTGCGTGAACGCGTGTAGCTCGAACGCAAGCGGCGGGCAAAACATTTACGTTTTGCAATTTATTATTCGTCGGCCGTCGCGTCGGCCGTCGCATTCTCGCAATGTCGAACTGCTCAACTCACACCGTCACAGTAGAGAAGGGGGGCCCCGAGAGCGAGATGGAGAGAGAAAACTTCATATGGAAAACTTTTCACACACCACAGAACTCTGAAAAGAGAAAAGCAGCAGCGCGAGTGCGCCAACTCCAGTCGATACGTGTAGTATCTAAAGATATAAGGGCCTCGCGTTGTCCGCCGTTTATCCCCGTGACCTGCGCAATTCGTGATACCGAGGAGTCTCGAGCTTCAGCTGGTCCTACCATCATGCCGCTCTCGGAACCGCAGCGGCGCGAGCGCCGCGCCGCGCAGCGCGCTGCCGAGGCTCAGGACGCGGCTCGCGGGCAGCGCAACCGCCCGGCGCCGAGCCGGTGCTAGGCCGCCTCCGCTGCGCCTGCTTCCTTGCGCGCCGCTGGACGTCGGCCGAGAAGACCGCTTCCCTCTGGGGACCCGACTCCGCGAAGATCGCGCGCGCGTCGTGAGTGGCGGCGCGCGCGCGATCTCCGTTCCCGGCCACGCCGGTCGCAGTGGCATGGGCTCACAGGCTCAAAAGCGCTCCCGTCAACAGCGAGCGAGCGCCGCCGCTGCTCCTCCTCCCGCCGCCGCTCCGCTCACCGAGACAAACTCGGTGCCGCCGTTCTCGCCGCCGCCGCCACCGCCGCCGCCTCGCCCCTCGCCTCCGTCACCGCCGCCCTCCATCTCGCGGCGGCGTCCCTCTGATGGCGCGGGCGCCTCGCTCACCGGCGCCTCGCCGCCGCCCCCCCCCTTCTCGCGCCGCTCCGCTCGAGCGTGGCCGCCGCCTCCCCTGTCAATCCCGCCGCCTCCCCTGTCATCCCGCCGCCCGCACCACCGCCGCCACCGCCTCGCGCCTCGCCGCCGCCGCCACCGACCGCCCTCTCCCCTACGCCGCTGAGCGCGCCGCGGTGCAGGGGGCGAGCCCCCGCTGCGCAGCCTCACCGCAGTGCACTGCGCTCTCCGCGCCCCTGACGATTAGTTGGTGTTGCACAGCATGGAGCTCGGCGAGCGTTTAGCGAGCCCCTCAGCTAGTCACAATAAATTGCGTGAAGATTTCCTAAGAGTGTTCTCCACGCTATCTACTAATCTTTGCCGCGTCATCGATGGGCAATAGCTCACTGGACAAACTGGGCGGCCACCGCGAGCACAGCTGACCCAAAGATCACGCGGGCGATCAGCTGCCCCTGCCCAAGCTGCGGGCTCGCGGCCAGCTCTGCGCCCAGCAGCGCGGTGCGCTCCTCCTCGTACGCCGAAGCGTACTTCTCCTTCCACCGCAGCTTGTTGACGCCGCGGAGGATCGTAGGAGGCTCGCCGATCCGTGCGTAGACGCGCTGCTGGAGCAGCTCCTCGATTTCGGCCTCGGACCGCTCCCTCTCCCTCTTCTCCGCCGCCGCCGCGTCGGCCTCCGCATCCTCACTGCTGATACGCGCCAGCGTCGCCGCCTCTGCCGCCGTCGGGGCCTCCGCCTGCATCCTCTCGAGCGCACTGCGGACAGAGGGCGCGTCGGCCGCGCAGACCTTGCGGACGGTACCCGAGACGTCGATCACAAAGCAGGCCGGCTCGTCGTACAGCGGCGCGAGGCTCGACTCAACCAACATGCCGAGCAAGGACGTGGGCGCCGTCTGCATCGTCGTGCCGACCGACCCGGCGGGCGCCTCCGCGGCTCCCGGAGCCACCACCGCGACGCACGTTGTTCCAGTGGGTGCGAAGGGCGCACCTTCCACCTCAGGGAAGCCGCCGACGAAGATTGCGGCCTGCCGTTCGCTGACTCCGAGCATCGACGTGAGTTCGTTTGGAAGCACGTCGCCTGCCGCGGCTCTCAGCACGGGATGCGCGGCGCGAGGCGGCAGCAGAGGTGCGGCAGGGCGAAGAGGCGCGGCGAAGGCGACGGCGGCGGAGAGGGCGGCGAAGAGCATCTATGGCTGTCGGAGGTGGGCTTGAGCACTTTAGGGTCGATACTGTCCCGTTTTGCTGCTCACAGCTAGGGACGGCCTCTGCGTCAAAGTCAAATCACCCCCACCACCCTACCACCTCCCACCACGGCAAACCTTCGGCTCCCGCTCAGAGGCGCCCCGCGCCCGTGTGGCGCGCCGAGGCGGCGCCGAGGCCGGCGCCTTGCACCCGGCCCGCGGCCGGCACCGCCTCGCCCCACAACTGACCGCCCTGCGGCCCCTGCGCAGGCGTACCACAGGCGTCGCTCAAAAAGCGACGCCGGGTGTGGGCTGCTCCCTTGACCCGTCACCCGCCGCGCCCTCGCCCGGCCGCCTCACCGCTCACGGAGCGTGCTCGCCGCCGCCGCCGCGCGTCCCGCGCCGCCACGCATGCCCCTTGCCCTGACGCGCGCGCTCTGCAGCGGCGCAGAGCGCGCGTCCCTGGCACAGACGGAGCAGCGGCCGCGCCAGCGGTCGCTGCTCCGCCCCCCCGTCGCGCGCGCCGCGCGCGCGCTGCCGCCGCCGCCGCCGCCGCCGCCCCCTCCTCGCCGTCTTCCCCACCCTACCCTCTGTTGCGCGCGCCGCGCAGCCGCGCTGCGTGCCCCCGCCCCCGCCCCCGCCCCCGCTCCCAAGCGCCCCTTCCCCGGTAGGTGTGCGGAGAAAGTAGAACCAATCGAGAGGTGGCAGAAGCCGCCGTGTGTGACACATATTGCGGCACGTGAGAGTGAGACAGAGCCCCGGCAGCGGCCAGCGCGCGCGCGCAGCGGCCAGCGCAACAGGCGTTTCAAACAGCAAACGGGACGGCCTGCGCAGCCTCTAACTATTCCGCATTTTCGGGACCCCTCTCGATCGTCTCGCCCTCCCTGGTGTGTTCAAAAGCAATACTCAACTCTCGCGCCGGCTTTGAACCCGGCCGCGCCGGCTTTGAATCCGCTTCAACCCCAACGCGCACTCGGTCCGATCTGATGCCGATGGCGGTGCGCCGAGACGCAGACGGCGGCCCGCCCAGCCGTGATCGTGGTGGCGATGGGCCTGCGCTTGTGCAGCTGCCAGCTCTCCAGCAGCAGCAACCAGCAGTGGCAGCACCAGCAGCCAGCACCCCCCCTGACGCCCTGTGAGCTCTGTGTGGCTCTTCACTACACATGTATTTCAACAGAATCAGAAACACACCCAGTCCCGGTCTAGATTCCGCTCGCTAACGCGCTCTCTCACGAGCCCAAAAGGCCCAAGAAGCGAGATGGATCGTCGAGAACCACGTACACTAAGAAGGCGACGGCTAGCAGGGTGGCCGCTGCCGGGTTGTCTTGCAAGAAATCCCCGAGCCTGCTGTCGCCCCGCACGGGCTTGCTGTCGGAAAAGAATACCGGGAACATCTTTTCCGCTGAGTTCCACTTCAGTCCGCTGATCGGCGTCGCAAGCTGCGCACTGGCCAAACCAGTGGGCGCTGGTGGCGGCTCGGGCGCCTCCTGCAGCGTCTCCTGCTGCACGTATGTCGGGTCCTCGGACAGCCTCTCGCACTCGGCCAGCAGCGCGCGAGGGTGCTGCGATCGGTCCCCGAGGCTGCACCGAGCGCGCACCAAGCCCGACTCGTCGACAAGCAGGGAAGTCAGCACCGCCGCGGCGTACAAGTCGACACCGAGTGCCGCCGCGACACGCACACCGACCGCAGACGAGGGCGGTGCTTTGACCACTCGGACGCTCCCGCCCTCGGCCTGTCGGGAAGGGCACACGGCGACCAGATCGACATCCAACGCGTCGAAACCCGCCAAAGTGGCCTCGTCGACTGCCGGCAACGGGCTGCCGACGCAGAAGAGGGCCGCCTACAGGATCGTCCGCGTCTCTGAGCCGGCCACACCGCTGTGGGCGACTCGTAAAGCACTCGGAGAGCGAGGCCTGTCGGCCAGCTACCCCAAGCAGCTCGCACACATCTGGGGGGAGGCTCACGCCAGCGGCGGCACTCATGGACGGCTGTGAGCGCCGTTGCGAACGCGGCAGCGACGGCGGCGGCGACGACGACGGTGGCAGGCGCACATTCCCCGCCTTGGCCGCCTGCTGCAGCAGCTCGCGCCCGCGCGTCGGGTTGCGCGCGAGCTGGGCGGAGAGCGCAGCGAGCCGCTCCGGCGATGAGAGCTCGAGGGCGGCCTGCGCCTGCAGCGCCGACAGGGCGATGAGGTCGCAGAGTGCGAAGGATAGCCCCTCCGGGTCGCGAGCCACGCTCAGTGGCACGCCGTCCTCGGCTCGCCGCCGAAGGAGCGGCGCGTCCTCCTCGCGACCAACCTCGAGCGCGTCGCAGAGCGCGTCGAGCGAGGCGCCGAGATCGTCGGCGCCGGCGGGGTCGAGCTCCGCCGTTAGGGCGATTGCGACCTCGTCGGGTGTGCCCTCCCTGAGCAAGCTGCGTACGTAGCACGGCCGCACCCCGCGCAGGGTTGCGACGCCGCCGCCGGTGAGGCCTGACAGGTCGAGCGTTGCAGCCGTGCCCACCTCGGCCAGCCTGCAGCCCTCATCGCACAGGACCGTGGCGACTTCGACAGATGGGCCGGGCTGGCCGGTGTGCGCCAGCAGCGATTCCTGCTCCGCTTGGCTGATCTGCAGCGGACTGCTGGCTCCCGGCAGCAGGGGCTGCGTGAGCGGGAAGAGAGGCGTGCCGTGTGCGAGAGGAAGCGGCGAAATGGACGCGCTGGCTCCCGGCCTGAGGCTCGCGCCATCGCTGGAGGAGACGCACACAAACGGGACGCCTTCTCCCGGCGCCGCAAGGAAGCGCGAGTCCTCGGTGTTGACGAGCACGACACCAGACGCCCCCGCGGCGACGCAGTTGCGCATTTTCTCCTCGAGCGAGCAACTTCCACGCCGGACGATGGCGATGCCGCCGTGCATAGGGCTGAGCGGCCCGTTGGCCTCCGCGGGCTGCGCTGAAACTAGCCTCCCCGAGAAGTGTACGTGCTCTCCTTGAGCGTACTGACACATTACCGACGAGCCGGACGACTCGACAAGCCCTTGTCCGCATATGAGCTCGCGAAAGACAGGCCGGCTGCCAAAGCGAAGGCCCTTGCGGTACATGGCCGGAGCGGTGGGCGGCGCGAGAGCGAGCGAGAGAAAGGCGAAGTGCATGGGCACCCCCATGGCACCAAAATCGGTGAGTGTTTTTTTGCTTGGTGCAGAGAGTACCACCAACCATCACTTTAGTTGGTATAGATTATACAACCCCTGCCTAGACGAGTACAGCTAAAGAGTACCCGGTGCTCCCCTGAGGCCCTGGGGGCCCGTGAACATCTTTAGCTTGTGAGCCAGGAAAAGGGTTGCCTTTTACAAACAACGCTCCTCCGGCGCAGCAGGGGTCCCCGGAGGGGGGCTCAAGCGCTCCACGCCACGCCGCTTGCGGCGGTCCTATTCCCAGCTCCGCTGAGGGCCTCGGCGCGTTATCCAACGGAGCAAGGCGGAACGAAAAGAAATTCCGGCTGCATACTCGATCCCTCGCCTCATTTTGCTGCATGCTGTCCTGCCGACCGACCCGCCTGCTCTCGCGCGCTCGCAGCAGCCACAGCAGCCTCGCCTGCTGCCGTCCTCGCCCGGGCCGCCTTCTTTCCACGGCCGCCAAGCCCGCCACGCCGACGCTTTCCGCGCCGACGCCGACGCCGCCGGCCGCCGGCTTCAGCTATGTCGGCTTTGCCAAGGCGTACCCCTTCGCCAACAACGTGCTGATCGCGACCTGCAAGACGTCGGCGGCGGACCTGGTGGCCCAGTGCGCCATCGAGCGGAAGCCCCTCTCCGAGGTCGACTGGAGAAGGAACATGGTGTTTTGCCTCTTTGGCGCCGTATATCTCGGCGCCTTTCAGTACTGGTACCAGGTGCGCGAGGCGTGCGCCGGCGAGGCGGCGCAGCGCGAGCCCGGTCCGACGCCCGGCGCGGCCGTCCCTGCCCTCGCCAGGTCAACATCTTCAAGCGCCTCTTCTCCAACGCCGAGCGCTTTTGCAACCTCTCCCTGGTGCGCTCTCCCTGTCGCGGCCTCCTCGTGCTCCGGCACTCACCGTCCTCCTCCTCCGCCGCCGCCGAACGCACTCACCCTCCACCTGCTCCTCCTCCGCCGCCCTCAGGTGGCCAAGCTGACCGACCGGCCCGGCTTGCTCGGCCTCGCCGGCCAGACCGCCATCGACCTCTCGGTGACCCGAAACTAGACGCAGACAACACGTCACATCGGTCTATTGCTCGTGTCTCGACGGTTGCACAGCCTCAGTCCCATTCCCCACCGCCCCGCCCGCCGCCTCCTCCTCCTCCCAGGTGCTCAGCTGCGTCTACCTGCCGACGTTTTACGTCTTCAAGGCGCAGCGACCGAGATAGCCAGATCGCCCCAGACCGGAACGAGATCGGACGAGATCGGCCGTCCCTTCGCCAGGCGGGCGTCTTTTCCGGCCAGCTCGACCCGCCTCTCTGGCTCTCGGACGGGCTGCGCGGGTGAGAGGAGCTGAGAGGAGCTGAGAGGAGCGGAGAGGAGCGGAGAGGAGCGGAGAGGGGCAGTGAGGAGCAGAGAGGAGATGAGAGGAGCCAAGAGCAGCCGAGAGCAGCCGAGAGGAGCCGAGAGCAGCCGAGAGGAGCCGAGAGGTGACGAGAGGTGACGAGAGGAATTTAGGTACTCGGCCAACCTGAGGAAGGACGTGTCGGACGTGGTGATGGTGTGGGGCCCGGCCGACCTCGTCTGCTTCTCGGCGCCGCATCTCTAGCCGAGATGGAGCGGAGATGAGCCGAGATGGAGCGGAGATGAGCCGAGATGGAGCGGAGATGAGCCGAGATGGAGCGGAGATGGGCCATGAGGAGCCGGGTCTCGCATTCTCCTCTTCCTCGCCCCGCTCGGCCGCGGCATGCCCCGGCGGCGTGCGGCGGAGGACTCCCGCCCTCCTCTCTCATCGCCTCTGTTGTGTGTGAATAGGTGCCGATGTGGCTGCGGCTGCCGGTGAGGCTCGGGCGTGCTAGATGCAGTCCTAGATGCAGTCCTAGATGCAGTCCTGGGTGGGCAGTCCACACACCCCTAGCCCTCGAGCCGGAGCCCACCCGGGCGCCGCACACCGCACTCGCCGCCCCCGTACCCACAGACGGCAGGCCGCCGCATATCACTCACTCGGCCCCTCGGCCGCTCGTGTCTTTGCCGCAGGCACGTGGTCTCTTTCGTGTGGACGGCATACCTCTCCTTTGTGCGCGGCTCCAAGTAGGAGGAGCAGCCCCCCCCACCCCCACCCACCCCCACCCATGAGGACGCCATGACTGCATGTACCGGGCGGCGCTCAGCCCCTCCCTGCTCCCTGCTCTCTCTCTCTCTCTCTCTCTCTCTCTCTCTCTCTCTCTCTCTCTCTCTCTCTCTCTCTCTCTCTCTCTCTCTCTCTCTCTCTCTCTCTCTCTCGCCGAGGCGACGCGCTATACACGCGATGTACAGAGTCTCGCGCATTGGTTGGGCGTCTGTGTGCTTCCACAGCGCGATAAGCGCCCCTACACCCACGCGTGCGCGGCACACGCACGCATTCTCATTGATAATAAGCCGATGCGAACGGGTGTTTCTGAGAAGCCCAAAATGAATTAAACTTGAAAAAAGAAAGATCGGTTACGCCCATCTCACAGTACGGACTGACAGTACTCAGATCTCAGTAGAGAGGGTTCCGTTTTTATTTATTTATTCATCGGCGCGGCGCGGACAAAGTGCATTGTCGGACTACTGTTGGCGGTTGCATCCAAGCGTTTTTTCTTTTGCAAAAAAAGAAAATTGCACAACGTTCCATCTTAATATTGCAATAGGACGGATATGCGCGCGCCCGAATAAGCTGTGCAGGACGGCCGTCGCCCGTGGAGGACGAGGGCCTGTCGTCGGCGTATCGGGGAAGTGCAACTATGCACCCCCGAGTGCTATTTCTGGCCACAGCCTGCTGCTTTGCTGTGACCCAGCCGGCCAGCACGACATGGTGCGAAAGTCGGTTGAAGACGTTGCGGGAGCACGTCGCCGCACGCCGCTTCGGTGAGGCTTATGACATGAGCACCTCGCTCGACCATTCGTCGCCAAGCAGCCTTCCAGCAGCATGTCTCGCGGATAGTCCCTACCAGGGGCTGGCAGACCTGCTGGTCCTCGCGGACGGCCCGTGGGTAGGTCCTCACCTGCGGCTGCGCGATCCGGGAGGTGACCCGGAGGTGATGCCCATTCATGCCTCGGACGAGTGGGCGCTTCTGACCACCAGTGCGATCAAGGTGACCGGGTTCACTCTCGACGGAAACTTTGTGATGCTTTCCCACGGCGCGATCTCCAACGGGCAACGGGCCAGAGGCACGCGTGGGGCGGGCGACTACACGCTGGGCGAGAAGGAGATCCTAATCATCCCCGCCGTGCCGGAGGACCAGTGCGGCGACGACGGGGCAGCGGTCTTTGCAGGCGGCCTCGTCGATACGTATGGTGGCATCATCAACTACTTGCAGGCGGCCGTCGAGTTTGCCAATACCTTTTTCGACGAGGCGTCGTGGGGCAGCTTCCGGCTCAAGCCGACAATCGTGGCGCCCGTGTGCGTAGCGGGCTTCACGTACGCAGGCTGCGGCAGCTTTGAAGACCGAGCGCTCGGGTGGAATTCGTACGACCCGGTATCCGACGCGCTCGACACACTCGCCATCGCCGCTTGCGAGGACCAGCGAGGCCTCAGCCCGCTGGACTTCCTCTTCTACGGCGTCGTCATTCCGGGCTGCGAGGGCATCGCATGGTCGGGCCTCGGCTGGGTCGGCTCGCCCGGCTTTGTGATTAACCTGAACGCCAACAGCCTCGATCCATCCCTCTTGCACGAGCTGGGCCATAATATTGGCCTCAACCACGGTGCGCAACTCACATCGCAGAACCGCGGCCGCGTCCTCGCCGAGACGACCTTCGTCGACGCGTGGGCATCAACGCGGCCGCTTGGCTATCAGGAGTACGGCTCGCTCGTCACACTCATGGGCAAGGGCGAGACGCCCTCTGCCCAGCCCATGCTGCCAGGTAAGCTCATGATGGAGTGGGCATCGCGAGATGCCGTCGTCCGCGTGGAGCAGCCGGACGGCTGCGGCGTCTCTGGCGAGACATGCGGCCCCTACTACCTCCAGCCCACCGACAGCGGTACGTTTGACAGCGGCGCATTCGTCGGCGTCCGGATAGCCTCGGAGATTGCGGACCGCTACTTTTGGGTGGAGCACCGGACACTGAGCGCCGTCGTCGGCGACAGGCCCGCAATCGTGGTGTGCTCGGCTTCGTACAGCTCGAGCGCAGAGTCGCTCGGCGGCGGTGGCATCACCGGCATCACCGTCCTGGCGGACGCTGCAACGGAGGGCGACTCGTCAGCGCCACAGGTGCACGAGATGGAGGAGCTGCTGCTCGATGCATCCGTCGATGGCTCTGGCTTGCCTCTGTGGGTGCGGGTGGGCGCCGCAGACTCGCGAGGGTACCTTCCAGTGACCATCGCGGCGACTGCGCCGGGTCCGTCGCCTCCAACGCCTCCTGCACCTCCGGGAATTTTCCAGGGCTGCGACGACCACTGCTGCAACACCGTGATCCTCGACAACATCGAGTACACGCTGTACACGAGCGCGCCGTGCTGCTACGGCAAGTGCGCCTACCAGACCGTGCTGCCCGGGTCGAAGGTCTACTACCTGCAGTACGTCGCCGATGACTGGGACGAGTACATCGTGGTCGACAGCCTGTACAGCACGTCGTGCTTTCACCAAAATACCGTTGCCAGCCACGTAGTCAGCTTCTTCACCAACGAGGAGGTGGCCGACGCTGCATCTACTGAAGCGTGTCCCGTCGTCTCCCTTTCCGCCAAATCGCCCCCGTCGCCCCCGCCCTCTCCGCCGCCGCCGCCCTCCCCGCCGCCATCGTCACCACCACCAGTGCCCTCTCTCCCGCCGCCGCCAACTCCGCCGCCGCCGCCGCCGCCAAACCCGTCGCCCTCGCCGCCACCTCCACCGGTCCCGGAGCCGCCCATGCCATCGCGGCCGCCGCCGCCTTCGCCGCCGCCGCCGTCTCCGCCCAGGTCGCCACCACCGAGCCCTGAGGCACCGCCGCCAACACCACCACCACCCCTGGGCCCACCGCCTCCGTCGCCCACCCCGCCGCCGCTGCCGCCGCCGCCGTCGCCACCTCCGCCGCCACCGCCGCCACCGCCGTCGCCCTCTCCGCCACCACATCCGTCGCCGCCGCCGCCTCCCTTGAGCCCGCCGCCGCCACTCCCACCCCCACCGCCATCGCCATCACCTCTGCCGCCGCCGCCGCCCCCATCACCGCCACCACCTCCCAAGGGGGCGCCTCAAGCACCGCCGCGCCCTGCGCTGCCGCCAGCGCCACCTCCTCCACCCAGCCCACTGCCGTCGCCGCCGCCGCCCTCGTCGCCTCCGCCACCGCCGCCGCCTTTGTCTCCCCCTCCACCGTCGCCTAACGCGCCGCCGCCATCGCCACCGCCATCGCCCCCACCGTCGGCCCCACCGCCCGCGCCACCCCTCGCGCCACCGCCGTCCCCTCCACCTCCGCCATCTCCTCCACCTCCGCAGCCGTCATCACCGCCTCCTCCGCCTCCGCCCTTGCCTCCACCGCGCTTTCCGCCGCCGCTGCCAAACTCACCACCGCCATCACCATCGCCACGACTACCCGTGGAGTTCTCAGCGGTCCTGCACATGAAGCAGTACATTGCGATCTTGTGCGGGGAGATGTTTGTCAAGGATGAGGAATTGATACAGGACACGATTTGCTGGCTCGTCGAGCTGGAACCGAGAACAGAGAGTTGTTATTGCAACGTGAAGGGATGCGATGACTATGAACCGAACAACCGTTTCATCGACGTCATCATGCAATTCCCGAGTGGCAAAGTGGCCGAGGAGGCGGAGCAAAAGATACGGGACGCGACAGCGACTGTCGAACAGGCAAACAATTTTTGGCCACTGCTCGGAGGGAAGAATGCACTTGCTGATCCGCCCGATGGTGAGCTGCCCGAAATCGAGGTGTCAACAAACGCTCCGCCGCCGCCGGTGCCCGCCCCTCTGCAGCCCCCGAATTCGCCGCCCTACCAGAGGACGAGCAATAACACGACCATCATTGTCATCGGCGCCATCGTCGGCTCGTGCGTGCTCGTGACGATTTGCCTGGCGACGGCGTACTTTATCTACCAGCGGCGGTGTGCGCTGGCGTTGGGCTCTCCTGCATTATGGTCGGAGCAGCCCCTCACCCGCCACGGTCGGGATAGGCACGAGGCTGCTGAGCTCAAGCTGCAGGAGCAGCGGAAGCTGTCCGCCGCCGCAGCTGCGGCCGTTGCGCGCGACCGGCGGGGCATGCCGCCGGCGCGGAGAGGGGGCGGTGGGGGTGGTGCCGGCGGCGGCGCCCGTCGCGCCGGCGACCGTCGCGGCGGTTCGATCCCCGAATCGTCGCGGCGGTCGATCGACTCGCAGCGGCACGGCTCGATGGGCGCATCGCACGCGGCGTCGATGCGCTCGTCGCGCGCGTCAGCGGTACGGCCGTCTGAGATATCCCGCACCTCTGCCATGATTTGACTCACCCGGGGGCATGTAGTTTTTATTCTGGGCTCGCCTGTACGATGAACGGAAAGAGGGGGGGGGGGGGGGGGCTCTAAAGAAGAAGCTAGCGTGCGGCCAGGGTTCGGGCTCCTAGCAGGATAGACAGGTAGGGGAAGGGGTCTGTTCTCTCTCTCTCTCTCTCTCTGACTCCTCGCTCGAGCCAAAAGCCCTACCTACCTACCTACTATCCCCGGGAGGCCGCAAAAACGAAGCGAAAAATAGGAATGGAATGAGTCGAGGAGCAAGCATTCGCGTAGGGAGGGTGGTACCTTCTGTGAAACTGAAACGCGGAACGCGATCTGTCTCGCGTTCCTCAACGCTTGCGATTCAGCTGTCGCGCCGCTGGATGATCTTGCTCAGCTCGCCGAGCTCGACCTGAACGCTCAGCGGCGCGACCGCTGAATCGCAGCCGTTCGTGCTGCCACGCATGCATCGTTGCAGTTTCACAGCCTTGTTATTGAGAAGAAAATACGTCCTATGGCGCTGTGCGCTGGTCTGTGAGAGGTTGAGGTGCGAGCCCTGGAGGCCCTGGGAATGGGGGGAGACTACCCGCGGGCCTAGAAGGCCCGCGCGCAGGGGGGTGGGGCATTGAGACCGGTCATGAATGAGTGCGCGACACGCATGTTGCGAGCAGCGTTGTTGATGTTTT